CAGCACCACATACAAACAAAGATGTTGTGTCCACTGAAAACTACAAAATAAATATTAAAAAATTCTCTCTCTCTCTCTCTCTCTCTCTCTCTCTTTAAAAAAAAAAGAAACTAAGCTAGTGTCATAGGCTGCACCTGCTTAAATTGTGCATATACACATGTGTGTATTCACACATGTGCATGCATTCACACATATACATTAACATAAACTTTCCCAAACTTGAAATTCAAAACTCAAAACACTTTGGTCTCAAGCACTTCAGGTAAGGGATACCCAGCCTATCCTAGATTTGGTGTTCAACAGATCTTTGCTGACTGGGGATGAGAACCAAAAAATTACAGTTGTGTGCACCGCAGCCCTCGGCATCATGACATTAGGTATTTATTAGAAATCTCTTCCTTTACTCCTCTGATGAATGAAGATTTTGTAGGGTGCTTTGAAGTTGGTAAACAGGCGTGCCAAAATCAGGATTTATATTTTGTTCTGCTTGCACTGCGTTAATTTTTCTCATTTTAAAATGAAAATGCTTAACTTACAGTTCAATTAAAAACTGCCCCTCCCCCCAAAAAATTCTTAAAATGTGACATCGTTTTAGTTTGTGCCACAATTCATTCCTGCAAGGGGTGGAATAACACTAAGAGTAAGTGATTGTTCATTGTTGTCGGAATGGTTCTAGAAATAAGGGAGCCACGACTCCACAAAGCCTTCTTGTAACTACGGTTTGGGGGGATACATGGTCCTCCCTGTGGCTCTTAGCAAGAATTCCTTCTCTTCAAGAGTAGACAACTGCAACCAGAGCGCAGGTGGTAGATGCTGGAACTGTGTCCCTGTGAAGCAGCTTGCTCACTTGACTGGTATTTGGTTTGAAGAGAAAGGACATGAGATCTGGGACTGCTCTTTTGTGGGAGCTCCAGGGCTTAGCAAAATGTGAGGAGTGTTTCTGTTGGTCTCTTCCCCAAAGCCCAAAGGATGAATGGGTTTTAGGGCTTTCTTGAAGTTCAATTGTTGTTATTCTCCTCAGGGTACCCAGACACTGGCCTTTCATGAGTCTTCCCAAGTAGGAAGACTGTGGCACCCCCCTTCCTTTGCAGGTGAGAATCTCTGCCCAGGGAGATTCTCTAGTCCAGGGCTTTTTGTAATGCCTCTAAAGCCCTGCCTCTGATTTTGTAAACATAGGGCTCTGGGGATGAATTTGCTTCCAAAGAGCCTTTTTTCCTTGTCAGCAAGCATTTAGAGGAGTGATTGGACCCCATGGGGACTTTTATCAATGGACACAGAACGTGGTCTCCGGCTCCAGTTTAAGCAGGTGTAGCCTACGACACTATCTTAGTCTCTTCAGTGCACAAAATCACTGAAGAAATCACACAGAATCCACTCAACTGTTTGAACAGCTGCTCTGGAATAAAGCTTCTCTCCGTCTAGAGTGTTTAGCTCAATAGGCACAAATCCATTTCCACTCTGCTATACTCACTATTGTGAGTCATGTGCTGCTTCCCACTTTTCTCTTTTCATTTCACGAACAGCTTTTTTTAAAAAAACAAACAAACATATTTTTCCTTCCCTTGTTTGAGACTATTTGGAATCCTTATGGGAGGATGATTTCTTTAACAGATCTGTGCCTCCTGCCACTTACATAAACCTCCTTGTAGTGGCTTCACTGGACTTTGCCATGGTGATCCCTCTTGACACTGTGGTATAGTTCTACCCCTCAGTGATGGTCTTGCTCCTGAGCTGGTGTGTACAGGAGTTGTTGCCAGACTGCAGAAAGAATTCCCTGCACTTTCAACCTTCTCCACCCACTGGTGTTGCCCTTACTACTTATTCTGTCTCCCTGGCTCCTGCCATCTGACCTGTGTCGTGCTGTGGTGAATGAGACAGTGCCTAGCATATGGTGGATGCTATGTAAGTAACCGGGTGTTGTTAGTCACATTGAACCCATAAGCCTGGGAAGTAGGGTATCACATTTTTCTTTTGGGGAGAAAGCATTTGTAGGCCTCTGATTGGAAAAATGGGTATGCAGGTAGCTATGGGGACTCCAGGAACTACGTAGGTATTTACTTTTCGTTGATGTTTCCATTAATGCAAAGAGCTATTAGGAAGTTAACATATGGATAGTATAGTACCCTTAATCTTAAAATGTGAATTTGTAGATAGAGTTTTGAATTTTTAATTTTTATTGGATGAGAAATTTTTTATTTCTCATCCAATTAAACCCATGTAATACTAAGCTCATCAATATATAATGATTGTCTTTAAGTATTAGGGACAAAGTCTACATTTTGATCAAGTATTTTTATTTCTCTCTGGTCTCCTTGTTTTCTTTAAGCAATACAAATTTGCCCATCTTTCGCAAGTAACCGTGTGACCATTGTTAGTCGTACTAAGCATTTAAGCAAATGTGTATATATATTTGGTTCTATGTGTATTTATACTCTCATATATATTTTTATGGTGAGGCAACTTAGTGATGTAACTAATTTTTAATATTAGTCTATCTGTAAAAAAATGCTCAAATATTTGCATAAATGAAAGTCTTTGTAAAGTTAATGAACATAGTCTAATGAAGTTGCTATTATGCAAACATTTTGAGCACTCTTTTTTAAATTTAAATTTTATTTATTTATTTATTTATTTATTTATTTTGTAGTTGTAAGTGGACAGCATGCCTTTATTCTGTTTATTTTTATGTGGTGTTGAGAATCCAACCCAGTGTGCCCGCACACTGTCTTTGCACCTTCTGTCCCACCCATTATGTTGTTAGAGGTTATCAACTGGGAGGCCTTTTAAAACTGGGACTTTTTAAAAGCTGGCTGTAGAGCTTTCATTCTGTATTTTTATTAAGATAAAATTACGTTTATTGTTGGTGCCTCTAAAATAAGTGGAAGTCTGTGTTGCCCTGTAGTATATCCATTCATAATATGGCAGGGATGGAAAAGTGGCTCTCGATTTCTGTGGTGATTCATTCATCAGATAAGGGAGGCTGCAGGGGACATGGGGAGTAAGGGCCAGTGCAGTAGGGCCCACATGCAGAGGGCCTAGCCTCTCTCCTTGTGCCTTCTGGTAGCAGCGTTTCTTTGCTCTGTTGAAGGGCAACCCTGGCTCTTGTGTTTGAACAGCATGCCTCGTCAGCATGATGTAATGTTGTTATTTATAGAATCAGGAAAAAGGCTACCGCGGGAAGAGAAATAATTCCCTGAAGTTCTGTTAATTGTAGTCTCCTCCTCTTCCTCCATCCTGTGTGGTTCTCTTAATTACTTGAGGCACCAAAAAAATAGGGTTGCCATTTATTCTTAGACATACAGAAAAAAAAAATGAGAGATTGATTTAATCTGGTGTAGGGGAGATGGAGGATGTATTTGTCTTCACTTTCCAGTGAGATAGATCCATATTGTGTGATTTAATGGCTGTTCACTCACATATGCTAATAAGTAGAATGCACTTGCCTTTCTTTTAACCCTATCTTTACAGGCTGTGGGTTTGAAAAGCAAGTAGACGGTTAATGTTGATTTTTATCCCTAAGCTTACTAAGTGTGCCTAAGCGGATGAGCTTCCTTTGCCTACATCAATGATTGTCCTACCCGTAAGGGTCGGAGACTTAAGCCATTGCTTGGTGTCCTTGAGAGCAATGTTGCTAAACCCATTTTGCTTCTCAGCAACATTAGTGCTGAATTGCATATGGGTGGGTTGTCACAGCATGTCCTGCATGCTACAGGTGACAAGGAGATTGTCCCATCCCAAAACACATAAATAATAGTTTAAGATGCTAAGCAACTTCCTAAAAATAGCCCTGTAGTGATTAAGTTTTGTTTTAATTTAAGCTGTTTATTTTTATATTATTTTGTGGCCTTTAATATACATACAAGACTAAGCATTTGTTTAGAAAGCTAATGTTTATATAAATTCACAGTTATTATAAATAACTGTTATGCAGACAGACTATTTAGATTGCTGTTGTGCTAATTCTGGTATTTTCCTCTTCCTAGGAAATTACTGTTGGGATATTTGATTGTTGTTTCCCCCCCATATTTCATTGTGATAGTAAGTGATGCCATATGTATCTCTGCACAGTTTTCATTTTTTCCCTTGAGTTCCTTCCCTTGGATTATAGCTCCAGAGATATCATTATTAGAATCAAAGAGTGTGATCAGCAGAGTAGATCAAGCAAATCAGGGGAGGGAGGCAGGAAGGGAAAGGGGATGAGATTAATCAAATTGTATTATGTGCATGTATGAATATGGCACAATGGATCCCACCCTCATTAATTATAATTATAATATACCAATAAAAAAATCATAGAGCATGAACAGTTCTGTAGCTCCTGCTAAATGATGAGAGATTACACTCAAGAAATAGTGGGCCACAGTATAACTACTCATTACTTCCTGTAGTCTGCCCCTTGTTTTATTTCTGTTTATTTTTATGTTCATAAATGATGCAGATTGAAATGGGTTAAAGATATTTCTTTAAAATATTACCAAAAAGACATCCCAG